GATGCAATCCTTGTGTCATTAAGTGCTTAGAATTTTATTTATCTAATAAAATTCTCAAAGCATTTAACTAAATTATTGATAACAGCCATAGGATTCGAATAGCCATTCTCCATAATATGAAACAAAGACACTACCGCTTGAGACACAACCTTTTATTTGCTATTTCTTTGCTTTACAATATATTTATTTTATCTTTAAAACCACAATTATATTAAGTTTGCTCTTGAGACACAACCTTTTATTTGTTATTTCTTTGCTTTACAATATATTTATTTTATCTTTAAAACCACAATTATATTAAGTTTGTTCTCACGAAGGCTCGAACTTGTGATCTTTCAAATGTTAAATTAACCACCTACCACTGCACCTAACTAACACCTTGTGAAATATTTTGCAGAATAATATATTTATAATAGTTTGATTAACCTGATGGTTTTATCGGTTCAATTGGTCAAACCGTGAACCAGAGATCAAAACAGTTTAACCTCTGGTTCGAGTTTGAAAACATTGGTAAAAAAAGAATAAAAAGAAAGTTTCTAAAAAGTACAAATTTGAAACTTTTTAAAATTTACTATTTAAAGTCTTTTTAAAATTTAAAAAAAAAAGTTAAAAAATATAAGTTTTTAAGAAAAAAAATTTAAACTTATTAAATATAAATAGTATTAAAAAATTGAAATTTTTACAAAGATTACCAAACATGCCCTAAATATTAGATGTGACTATATGAGTTTTATTTGAGACCGCACATCATACCTAACTTTAATAAACTCAATCCATTGTCCCACAGCATAGACAAAATGCTTGAAATTGAAACCACACATGTAACTAATCTTAATAAATCCAATTCAGCTTGAATATTTACACAAAAAAAAAAAAAAAAAAAAAAAAACCCCCACTTGGGCATCAATAAATGACTTAAGACTTTGATAATTGTTAGTAAATCCACCCTCTCCGGTCTTGTGCTTATTTTCATTTTCTTTCTTTAGATAGCCGATCGTAGTTAGTCTGTGTTGAGTTCAAACCATGGAGTTTGATATCCAAATAGTCTCAAAAGAAACCATCAAACCGTCGTCTCCAACCCCGTCCCTCCTCCGCCAGTACGAACTCTCATTTCTCGATCAAATCCAGCCCCCAATTTTCATGCCACTCGTTATGTTCTACCCCAGATCACAAAACAATGGAGACCCATGTGAGAATTTGAAGAAATCTCTATCCCAAACTTTAAGCATTTTTTACCCATTAGCAGGACGAATCAAGGACAACACCTACATTGACTGCAACGACGAAGGCGTTTATTTCCTTGTAGCCAAAGCTAACTGCCACCTTTCTGATATTCTAGACCGTCGAGACCCCGGTAATAACAATAAACTCATTTCACTTGAGTTCGACGCTGCTGAGATTCCGGCCATGGTACAACTCACCTTCTTCCAGTGCGGTGGACTAGGCGTTTTCTTCCGCATGTCTCATAGGCTCGGCGATGCATTGTCATTCTTAATGTTCATCAATTGCTGGGCCGCCATAGCTCGTGGTGATGACACCAAGGTAATAACTCCTCGCTTTGAATCTGCCAACATATTTCCCCCAAAAAATATATCAGTCGGTTTTCCTCCATTAACGTCGTTTGAGAAGAATATCATGACGAAGAGGTTTGTGTTTGATGGGGCTTCAGTGGCATCTCTTAGGGATAAATACACTAAGAATGGAGTACGCCCGAGCCGTGTAGAGGCCTTATCCACCTTCATATGGAGCCGCTTCATGGCTACAATGCAAGCAAGGTCTGATCCAGTGAGACTTTATAATGTGATTAATGTTGTGAACTTACGTCCACGGATGGACCCACCGTTGTCCGACTACTACTTTGGAAATATTAGCCAAATGGTGGGAACAGAACCAGAGCCATTTCCAGACAGGGAGGACGGATTCGACAATATTGGGAACAAGGTGAGAGACGCAATAAAGAAAGTGAATGCGGAGTCAGTGAAGAAGCTTCAAGAACATGGAATTGGAGGACCTCCAAGTGTCATAATGGAAGGAGATGTGGTGAGTTTGGCCTTCACTAGTTTGTGCAGGTTTCCATTTTATGAGGCTGATTTTGGGTGGGGAAAGCCAGAGTGGGTTGGGTCCGTAAGCCTGATTAAAGAGAACGTGGTTGTTTTCTTTGACACCAAAAGTGGAGATGGAATAGAGGCATGGATCAACTTGGAGGAGGAAGACATGGTTAAGTTTGAAAATGACAAGGAGATCCTTTCATACGTTTGATGTAATTTTTCACCTTCCTGCTTGTCTTTAATCTACTTGTTTTGATTTCTTTTATTTGTCCAATCCTTAATTTTCAGCAATGTTTTCTTGTGATTCAATAGGCTGCTGATAGGTGCACACCCCAAACCGGCACTTTTCATTATACACTAGTTATAAAATTGATATTGCATGATTTTGAATTATGCTTAAATAGTTTGAATCGATTACCAAACGTAAAACACTCCTTTATCTCTATGTTCAAACGTATTGACTGTAGTAGTTATTAAACAAAATCAAACAATCTAAAAAATATTTGAGAATTATCTCTTTTGTTCATCTTCTTCTCCAATTTATCGTTTTCTCTAATTTTTCAACAACAATAAAAGTTTCACTTATCATTCTAGATTTTTTTTTAAGAACGAAACATATTTTATGAAAGAAATTTTCTTTTCACCTTTAATTTCCTTAACAACCAAATAACATACTATATTATTAAAATGATAAAGTGCACTTCAGCCTAACCTAAAAAATTTTAGGTGGACAAAAATGTGAAACGTCATCGTTTTGAGAACTCCAATTTTCTTCTTCGTGGACAAAAATGTGAAACGTGTTTTGAGAACTCCAATTTTCTTCTTCTTCTTCTTCTTTTC